ACAGCACTGGAGGGGCAGGCACAGCCAATCCATACCCCTTCACCAACCAATTTTTCCTAAAACCAATGCTAACCGCAACCTTGCAAGTTGTGACAATTTGCTACGCAGTAGGCAAAAACCAAACGGCATCAGCCAAATGGACAAAATTCCTACCAGGCCCCTGCCCCAAAAGCAGACGACCCCATGACAGGCATAGCAAGGTCAAACGCAAAAAACACCCTAAAATTAGGGAGGGTGGGCAGCTGATCCGATGCTCGCAGCGAAAAGAGGAAGCAGTGAATATATTCAACCCAGGCTGTCACTCAAAGGCAACATCCAACTCTCCAAAGCAACCTGAGGAGTCCAATCACACTTTGGGCCGACCCAACCAACTTGCCCAGCAACAGGGGTGTCTGGTTAACCCCACCGCAACCCGTGCTCTCCATGAAGGAGAACATGCTTAAGTGAGAAAAACTCACCTGGAATGGGATGCACTGGAATGGATTGTCTTGGACACCACATGGCTGGTGCGAGTCTCTGCTAGATTTTCCAGGGTGATGTTCACCGTCACTGACTTGTTCAGCTGCGTCACATGGACACAGATCTTCTCGGAGGTTTCTGCCTGGAGGACGAAGGGTGCCAGCACCAAGTGATAACTGGGGGGAAAGGGGAATGAGGACATAGAATCATAGAATCTTAGATATATTTTTAATCTTTGTTGGAAGCTGCCCAGAGGGGCTGGGGAAGCCCAGCCAGACGGGCCGGGTACAAATAATAAATTATTATAATAAATTATTAATATTAGAGTTTGAAGGGACCCGAGGGTCCTCTAGTCCAACTCCATGCATTACAGAATCTCATCTAAAGCCTCCATGACAGATGGCCATCCAATCTCTGCTTAAAAACCTCTAAGGAAGGAGAGTTCCCCAGGGAGACCATTCCACTGCCCAACAGCTCTTGCTGTCAGAAAGTTCTTCCTCATGTTGAGTCGGCATCTCCTTCCTTGTAACTTGAAGCCATGGGTTCGAGTCCTGCCCTCGAGAGCAGGAGAAAACAAGCCTGTTCCTTCTTCCATGTGACAGCGCTTAAGATAGCTGAAGAGGGCTATGGCTCATTGCAGGTGGCTACAACCCATGTTGTTTTGTTTAAGATGAGACTTTTATGTCCCTTCCAAAATAACAGAAATGCAATAGCGCGCAGAGTAGCATCAAATACAGCAAGAGTACTATTAGCCCAGAAATGGAAGCAAGAAGAAATTCCGACGAAAGAAGAATGGCAGACGAAATTAATGGACTATGCAGAATTGGACAAAATGACAGGAAGAGTTTGAAACCTGCGGGACCAGAGATTTTACAGAAGATTGGAAGAAGTATATGAATTATTTGAAGAGCAACTGTAATATCAACAAATTACGCTACTAGGACTACAAGAAGTTTTGTAATGAGAAATATACAAAGTGTTACAAAGTAGAAAAAGATAGAGATACTGGTTATAAGTTTGAAATGTAATAGGAAAAATAAGAAATGCACGCTAAGATTGGAAAATTTTCAGACAGGGCTGATGGAAGTCAAAAACATTGAATAAGATGTAAAAGTATGTTTAATTATTGTTGAAAATGGGATGTTAAAAAACTAATAAAAAGAGAGGGAGTAGTGCCAAATAGAAAAGAAATGTGGTCCCTTTCCAACTCTACAATTCCATGGTTCTAATTTATATAATTAAGCGAATTTTCTTTCGAGAAGTTTGTGGAAAGCATAGGGAGAGAAGGGGAAGGGGAAGATGTCCAGGCAAGCAGCTTACGGCATTGTGCTAGGTGCCGAGATGTCCCACTGAAGGAGCAGCAGGAAGAGAAAGGCGCTGGGTCCTCCAAGAATCTGGCCCTTCCCCATCATTCAGCCGTGGGCAAGCGAGATGGTGGCGGCGGAGGCTGCTGCTGTTGCTGCTCCCACATCCACCTTCATACTGGCTCTCTTTGCAAGGCGGAGGAGATAAAAGAGGCCAGGGGGCTGGGACTGTGCTGGAGCAACGGGGAAGGGAAGCTGCAACACCCCACAGAAGGTGCCTTTGCCAAGCAAACAGAGTAAAGAGGTCACTGGCCTGCATTTCAACCAGGTGCAGGGAAACAATGCCAAGTGCCGGGAAGAAGATTTGTTTGGCCCCAGATTTATCTTTCTGCAGAGTCACGGAATTGTAGGGTTGGAAGAGACCGAAAGGCTCATCTGGTTCATTTATTACCACAGTGGAATCTCGGTTTTCAAGCGTCTTGGAAGCCGGGACGTTTCGGAACCTGAACGCCGACAACCCGGAAGTAAATGCTTCTGTTTTCAAACGCGCCTCAGAAGTCAAACGGCTTCCAAGGCGAGTTTTTCAATTTTCTCAGTGAAAATTGCCAGCAGACCTTTGTGTCTTGGTTGCCGAACGTTTTGGAAGTCAAACGGTCTTCTAGAATGGATTATGTTTGACAACCGAGGCTCCACTGTATAATAATAATAATAATAATAATAATAATAATAATAATAATAATAATAATATATTTATATCCCACCCTCCCCAGCTGAAGCCGGGCGCATTATTATTATTACTATTACTTTTTATTTTGACAAAGCAATAATAATAAATAAATAAAAATAAAAATGTGCACCCCACCACCAAGAGCATTCCATTGTAACTATCCAACCTCCCAAAATTTCAGACCTCTTTGCGATGGTTTGACCCCTTTCCATTTTAACAGTACAAATTCTACAAATACCTTCCTCAAAATTATTTATCCTGCATATTCCCCGTCTTACCTTAATAGCACATGTTAATTTCTCATTAATAGCCAAATCCCACACCTCTTTATACCATTCTTCCGTTTTATATTGACTTTCTGCTTCCTAGCTATAATAAGTCGTGCAGCTGTCAGTAAATTTGTGAGTACAGTGGTGTCTCGCAAGACGAAAATAATCCGTTCCGCGATTCTCTTCATCTAGCGGTTTTTTCGTCTTGCGAAGCAACCCTATTAGCGGCTTAGCGGCCTAGCGGCTATTAAAGGCTTAGCGGCTTAGCGGCTAAAAGGCTATTAGCGGCTTAGCGGCTATTAAAGCTTAGCGGCTTAGCGGCTAAAAGGCCATTAGCGGCTTAGTGCTTAGAAAAGGGGGGAGCGAAAAAAATCGCAAGACTCGCAAGACGTTTCCGTCTTGCAAAGCAAGCCCATAGGGAAAATCATCTTGCGAAGCGCATCGAAAAATGGAAAACCCTTTCGTCTAGCGGGTTTTTCGTCTTGCGAGGCATTCGTCTTGCGGGGCACCACTGTAAGTCCTTCCTATACTGCGAACCTTCCACTCCATGGTAAATTGATAATAATGCTACCTCTGGACTTTTGGTCAGCTTTAACCCAGTGCATCTAGCCCACTTTTATGTGTTTTATGAGAGCCAGTGTGGTGTAGTGGTTAAGAGCGGTAGTCTCGTAATCTGGGGAACTGGGTTCGCGTCTCCGCTCCTCCACATGCAGCTGGTGGGTGACCTTGGGCTAGTCACACTTCTCTGAAGTCTCTCAGCCCCACTCAATCCACAGAGTGTTTGTTGTGGGGGAGGAAGGGAAAGGAGAATGTTAGCCGCTTTGAGACTCCTTAAAGGGAGTGAAAGGCGGGATATCAAATCCAAACTCTGTTTCCAGCGCTCTATTTCTCCAAATATCTGGCACAGTGGAACGAGGAAATTTATGCAGTACCAGACTCCCTCCATCATCAAACTCACCCTGAAATTGGGCTATTTGCAGTAAGGAAAGTGGTGAGGAGGGGCAACCATTGCTTGACTCAACGCTGTATTGCCTTCTCACAAAAGAAGTGAACGCTCAATAAACAGGTAGTATGGAAACAGCTCTCCTCTTAAGGTGTTCAGTGACTCTTTTGTAAGGGCCTTTTCACCCTCTTCCAGGATGGACAGGTGGGGCTGTTCACTGAAGCAAGGAAGCGGAAGCGTCAGAGTTTAGAAATATCTCAAAAAAAAAATATTGGCAGCTGCCCCCAGTCAAACTGTCTAGCTGCCGCATTCTGGATTAGTTGTAGTTTCCGGGTCACCTTCAAAGGTAGCCCCACTGGAATCAGGCTGCCGGGGGCGTTGCACTCCCCCCACACTCCTCTTCCTCCGCCAGTGGTGGCATGGATTTTTTATTTTAAAAAATGTATAAAACGCCCCACAGATAAACATGCCCTCTGTCCAACTTCCAGGGCTGAGGAGCCACTTGGCAAGCCTCCCTTCAAGACAAGACAGTTGGCATAGACCATAGTAGGCAAACTAAGGCCTGGGGGCTGGATCTGTCCCAATCACCTTCTAAATTCGGCCCACAGACGGTCTGAGAATCAGCGTGTTTTTACATGAGTAGAATGTGTGCTTTATTTAAAATGCATCTCTGGGTTATTTGTGGGGCATAGGACTTTGTTCATTCCCCCCCCTCAAATATAGTCCGGCCCCCCAAAGGGTCTGAGGGACCCCCTGCCTGAAAAAGTTTGCTGACCCCTGGCACAGACCTACCTGCTTCCAGTAAAAAAGCAGCCAAATAAAAGAATTCTTCGCGCAATTTTCTCTGGGAGGTATCTCAGCCTCACCCGCTGCCTGGATACATCCCAAGGAACAAAAGGGTAAGCAAATATGAATGGGGCACTTTTTGATTCGGGTTCTTGTGAGGAAAGAGTGTAATCATTTACCCAGCCTGCCTTCCCTCTCTTTCTTTGTGTCTCACTGTGCTCAGTCACAGTGAGAATAGGGAAGTGGACTGTATATTATCCACCCTTCACCCTATGGGCGTAGCTGTGGGGGGGCAGCTGTTCCCCCCCCCCAAAAAAAATCAAGTCAATAAATAAAAGATACTTAACTAAAGTAGAAATAATCAGAATAATTTGAAATGGAAATGCTCGCCGAGATACCAAGATTTCCCTTCCTGGCGAGAATTTTCCTAGAAAAAGGCAGTGCTTGCTTTTATTACACGTATAAAGACGCCTGCTTCTTGGGAGAAAAGCAATGGACAAACCTAGACAGCATCTTAAAAAGCAGAGACATCACCTTGCCGACAAAGGTCCGTATAGTTAAAGCCATGGTTTTCCCAGTAGTGATGTATGGAAGTGAGAGCTGGACCATAAAGAAGGCTGATCGCTGAAGAATGGATGCTTTTGAATTATGGTGCTGGAGGAGACTTTGAGAGTCCCATGGACTGCAAGAAGATCAAACCTATCCATTCTGAAGGAAATCACCCCTGAGTGCTCACTGGAAGGACAGATCCTAAAGCTGAGGCTCCAATACTTACTGAGTATGGCACAGAAAAACTGCATTGGAAATTTGAGAAGGAAGTGTTGAAAAAGTTTCTCTCTTTTAAATTTAACTTCTTAGGTTTCAAATGACTGAAAATTTTAACAGGGTTTTTTGTCTGAGCACTTGGGGTCAAAAGAAAGTACCGCATTTTTCCATGTCTGACGCCCCCTATTTTGGGGGAGTCCAAATTAAGAAAGGATGCTGGTGGCGCTGTGGTCTAAACCACTGAGCCTCTTGGGCTTGCCGCATCAGGAGTCGGTGGTTCAATCCCCACGATGGGGTGAGCTCCCGTGCTCGGTCCCTACTCCTGCCAACTGGGCAGTTCGAAAGCACCCCAAAAAGTGCAAGTAGATAAATAGGTACCACCTCCGGTGGGAAGGTAAACGGCGTTTCCGTGCGCTGCTCTGGTTCGCCAGAAGCGGGCTTAGTCATGCTGGCACATGACCCAGAACCTGTACACCAGCTCCCTCGGCCAATAAAGCGAGATGAGCGCCACAACCCCAGAGTCGGCCACGATGGACCTAATGGTCAGGTGTCCCTTTACTTTATCTAAATTTAAGAAAACACCCCTCAGCACTACCTGTGTATAAGACGAGCCTCAATTTCAACCTTATTTTTGGTTAAAAAACCTACTCTTATACACAGAAAAACACCGGAATTTAAAATAACTGTTGTTGAGAAAATAAATAACCCTGGCTGTGTCCATGCTTCACCCTAAGGTCCCAGGATGGGTTACAACATTGAAACACAATCTGAAACAGTTTAAAACAACTTGCCATCGCAAACATAAGATGGCTCCGGGCTCTGTCAACTCTAGCAGATTCGGAATGAAATGTCACAACAACAGCTGTTCTAAATTACTTTCTTTTCACCCCATGCTCAGAAAAACCTGTCAAAAACTTTTTACAATTTCTACTTAAGTATTTTTATTTATTTACTTGGATTGGGGGGGAAGAAGCTTCCCCCCTTGCTCGCCCCCCCCCAACGTCTGGATCAGAATAGAAAGTGAAGGGGGTCGATTCTCTCTACAAAGTTCAGTAACAGGCACTCAGCTAGAAAGAGGCAGTGTGGTGTAGTGGTTAGCCTGACGGTCTAAGACCTGGGAGACAAGGTTTCAAATCTCCACTCTGCCATGAAGTTCATTTGGTGATTCTGGTCCTGTCGCTATGGCTCTCTGCCTAATCCAGGGGTCAGCAAACTTTTTCAGCAGGGGGCCGGTCCACTGTCCCTCAGACCTTGTGGGGGGCCGGACTATATTTTGGAGGGGGGAAATGAACGAATTCCTATGCCCCACAAATAACCCAGAGATGCATTTTAAATAAAAGGACACATTCTACTCATGTAAAAACACGCTGATTCCTGGACTGTCCGCAGGCCAGATTTAGAAGGTGATTGGGCCGGATCCAGTCCCCGGGCCTTAGTTTGCCTACCCATGGTAATCCACCTCGCAGTGTCGTTGTGGGGAATTGCACTTCTTAATATGCAACTTTTCCCTCAGGTCTAGCCCACACATTCGTGGACTGGAAAGTAGTCGATGTAGTAATAATAATAATAATAATAATTTATTTGTACCCCGCCCATCTGGCTGGGTTCCCCAGCCACTCTGGGCAGCTTCCAACAACGATTAAGAATACATTAAAATGTCACACATT